GATGGCTCAGTTGGCTTCCACAGACTAGTTCGACCTCAGCCGTGGTGTCCGCTTCGAATACCTATCCCACCCCGCCATTTCCCCCGACCAGCACGAAATACAATTCCTCCAAAATAAGCCCATCTCTTGGGCGTCAGACATCTTGCTATTTCTGACAACGGGGGAACTTCCAGACGACCAACAGCAAGCCGCCAAAGTCAGGGCCTGATCGTCCAATTACATCCTCGTCAGCGGCATTTTGTACAAATGTGGTTTCTCACGCCCCTATCTGTGGTGCCTCAATCCGGCTCAAGCAACCTATGTAATGCAAGAAATTCATGAGGGTATCTGCGACAATCACTCAGGCGGCAGGTCTCTGGCCCACAAGATACTTCGTACTGGATATTTCTGGCCTACTCTTAACCAAGACGCGACTAATTTCGTGCTCAAATGTGATAAGTGTCAGCGTTTTGCCAACATCCCCCATGCTCCTCCTACTGAATTGATCACACTTTGCAGCCCCTACCCGTTCGCCAAATGGGGGATCGACCTAGTTAGTCCTTTAGCCACCGGCCGAGGCTAGACCAAATTTGCCATTGTCGCCATTGATTATTTCACTAAGTGGGTAGAGGCAGAACCCCTTGCCACCATTACCGAGCAGAACACAACCAAGTTCATCTGGCAGTCGATCGTTTGCAGGTTTGGCATCCCCCAGGCCATTGTCTCCGACAATGGCAAACAATTCGACAACGCCAAGTACAAGAAGTTCTGTGCAGACCTCCAGATTCAACCATGTTTCTCTTCCCCCGATCATCCCCAAGCCAATGGCGAAGTTGAGGTCACCAACCGTTCTCTTCTGAAGATCGTCAAAACCAAGCTAGAAGCTGCTAAGGGACTTTGGACTGAGGAACTACCAAATGTACTATGGGCTTACCAAACTACAGCTCGGACTCCCACTGGAAAAACCCCTTTTCGCTTAACATACGGCGCTGAGGCGGTTATTCCGGTGGAAGTCGGTCTGCCTACTCCTAGGGTTTTACATCCGGATCCAGCACTAACGGAAGAGCTCCGTCGGGCAGACCTGGACCTAATTGAAGAACTCAGAGAGACCATTGCTGTCAGACTGGCCTCATACCAACAGAAAATGAGAACACACTAAAACCGCAAAGTCCGACCAAGGGAGTTCACTGTAGGGGACCTTGTCTTGAGAGAAGCAACTCTTGCCACCAAAAATCCGACTGAGGGTAAACTGGCAACCAAATGGGAGGGACCTTACGTTGTGCAAGCCCGACCACGTCCGGGCACCTACCGACTTCAGGACATGGAAGGTCGAGACCTCTCCCACCCCTGGAACGCTGAACACTAGAAGTGATACTTTTAATAAATTCTTACTGTTGTATTGCTTAGTTGTTGTATTTTCTTTTTGATGCATAATGTAAACTTTGATCGACTGGACTACACTGTCCATGACAACAATTTTATATCTCAGCTATCTGTGTGTTGTCTCAATAACATTTTCATTTGCAGCACTTATTAACAGCCTCAGCCAGACTGAGCACCAGAAGCCTCAGCCATACTGAGCACTAAAAGCCTCAGCCAGACTGAGCACAACAAGCCTCAGCTAGACTGAACACTAGAAGCCTCAGCCAGACTCATCACCAGAAGCCTCAGCCAGACTGAGCACAACAAGCCTCAGCCAGATTGAGCACCAAAAGCCTCGTCTAGACGAGCGCCAAAAAGCCTCAGCCCGACTAAGCATGAAGCACTCGGCCAGACCAAACCTCAGCCAACCTAAGCATAACAAGTCTCCGCCAAGACCGAGCGCCACAATTTCAGGTTCAGACTGAGTTACTTACAACGTTAGTGAATCATGGCTTAGCCCCAACTGAGCACGCATGCAGGGCTCAATCAAGGCCACCCATGCAAACTTCAAGCTTGTGGAATTAGTAGACACACTTAGTCACAATTCCAGCTCCAAGTCTTTACACCACTCTTTGCTCAGTCAAATTCCAAAGACGTTCTTACACGTTTTCTTTACAAGTCAGGTTATTTTCTTCTCAATCAAACTCTTACAAGTCAGCCTCTTTCCTTACAAGCCAAGCCTCACTCCATAAACCACTAACCTACTTGAGCAGTATGGCAAACACAAACTTATAATTTTATTACATTTTAAATTTCACTCTGCATTGAGGAGTTCCTAACTTTACTCTGCATTGAGTTTTTATTACAAGTTTAATTTCACTCTGCATTGAGGAGTTCCTAAATTTACTCTGCACTAAGTCTTTATTACAAGTTCAATTTCACTTTGTATTGAGGAGTTCCTAACTTTACTCTGCATTGAGTTTTTATTACAACTTCAATCCCACTCGGTCTTGAGGAATTCCTAAATTTAGTTTTTATTACAAGTTTAACTCCACTCTGCACTTCACAATGATTCATACACAAGCTCCACATGCAAGCCACCATTCTCATCCATTTCAGATGCACAAGCAAAAACAATCAAATGCAAAACACAACTGAAATTTTATTTATTCACAACTTTGTACATAAGTTCATTACAGCAAAAAAAAAAAACAAACAAACAAACAAAACAAAACAAAAACAACCACACAATGTCTGTGCAAGGTCTTCTTCTTCTTCTTCAATTACTCCTCTTCGCTGGACACAAGGTCTACTTCTTCAATACCCTCATGCAGGGAGGTCTGGGCCACATCGTCGTCGTCAATTTTTACACTACTCAGGTCCAAGTCTGGGAACAACTCCTCAACTTTATGCTTGAACATCTTCCAACCACTGTCCTAGAACTCTGCCATTTAGTGTTTATAAAAGTCTGACCGCTGGAAGCTCTCAATCACTTCCGACTTAGTCCTGCCTCCAGCGGTCGTCCTCGATGGGCCCGCCCCCCCAGACTCCTCCCTCGCCAAGCTGCTGGCGACCGCGACATCAACTGCCATCTGAAATTCAGCAGATCCCTTGAACTGATCCACTGCTACAACGCACAGATTGGGGTATGCCACCCTTTCAGAGGCTGCCTTGGCCCTCTCTTTGTCCAGATCCTTCTGCAGGGTCGCCCTTTCAGAGGCTGCCTCAGCCCTTTCTTCCTCCAACTCCTTCTGCAGGGTTGCCCTTTCAGAGGCTGCCTTGGCCCTCTCTTCAGCCAACTCTCTCTGCACGCTCGCCCTCTCAGAAGATGCCTTGGCCCTCTCCTCCTCCAACTCCTTTTGCAGGCCGTCTCTCTCCTCTATTGCCTTCGCGCGCTCGCCCTCCAGCTCCCTCTACAGACCGTCAATCTTCACGTTTGCCTCATCCTTCTATTTAACCAGCTCTTCATTACTGGTCATCGCCTCTTCATGCCGTTCGAGCGCGACTGCACAGGCTTTTTGGGCCAACCAGCTGGAACTCGAGCGACACAACCTGGCGGCGTTCGTTCTTCAGCTCCAACTTGACCGCTCGCAGCTCAGCATGGGCACTCTCCCAGTTTACACTCTTCTTCTTCAACCTTGCAAGTTGAGCCTTGGCCTCATCTGTCTTGAGTTTTGCAGCCCCCGCTTTTCTCAGCAGAGCCCCTGCTAAGGTGGTTACCTCCATTTGAGCTGAGCATAACCCCCTCAACAGCTCAGCTTCATTGAATCTGGTTGCTAAGCGCAAGACTGCCTCTTTCACAATCTCCACAAGGCGATCTGCTCCTGCCTTGGCTGGGCCCTCTTCTCCGTTCAGCTCCACTGCGCGAGCGTGGTAGATCGTAGTCGTCAGACTGACCCCCCCTCCTTGGGGCGCAAGACCGCCTTGGGACTGTTCTCCTCCCCTTGGCTTAGGGCCTGTTGCCCCACCTTCTGCTTGCACTTCGGGGCGACCTTCGCGACCCCTGAGGCGATCTCCACCACTACTAGGGCGACCTCCACAACCTCCAATACTGGGGTGACCTCCACCACTTCTTGGGCAGCCACCCTTCCTGGGGTCTCCTCCACTGCCCTCTTCTCTGCCTCCTTGACCATAGGGGTGTCTTCCCCCTCAACCTTCGCCTTCTTCGATCCAGACGCATCTATAGCCCCATCAGGGGCACTCTTCCTCTTCTTCTTCTTCTTCAGAGCCTCCCCTTCCTTGTTCGCCTGCTCCTTCACAGGATCCACTAGGGGCGGTCGTGGCACAAAACTGCCTAAGTCCTTCTCCCCCAGCGGCTTGGGGCGCGGTCGGATCCTCTCCCGCGCGATCGGCTTAGGCGGTCGGTCTTCTTACGCCTCCTTAAATTTCGTGGCCTTGGCCAGCATGGCCCTATCCTTAGCCTCATGCACTTTCCTCCTTGCCTCCAGTTCAGCTCGCCCCACATCTCCTCCACTCGGCTGAGGACCCAACCCTGCTGCAAACAAGGCTGAGGGTTGAACGAGTTCGTCCCACCTGACCCCCTCCTTCTCTCGCCATGCCTTCACCCTCTTTATTCTCTCCTCTACTGCAGCTCCCAGCTTTGGCTCCACAGACTTGGTGGGCACTTTCCAAATGGTGCGCACTCCAACTCCTCCACTGGCGGACACATAGAACCACCGTGGTCTCCACTCCTTGATCGACGACGGCAGCCTCGCCACCAGCCCTTTCCCTGCTGCTGCCTGCAGCGTGACCCAAGTCTCTTGCTGCCCTGAGGCCTTGTAACATGTGAAGAATTCGTCTACTGTCATGGCCGCCCCTTCGTTCGCCTTCGGCCACGCACTTGCACAGGCCAGTATGATCTTCCACGCATTGGGCATTAGTTGACCCGGCGCTACCTCCAAACGATTCAGGACATTTACCACCACTTGCAGCAAGGGCAACCTCAGTCCTCCCTTCAATGCTTCCTCATAAAGGGCAAACCCCCTCTGGCTTGGCGTCGGATGGCCTCTCCGTCGACATCGACAACAATAACTCTATTTCAGCAGGCACATGGCATTTTTCGCGAATAGCCTCCAAATCTGCTGCAGTAACCGTTGATTTGTCAGCCTTCGTGTGCCAGTGATCTGGTTCCACCTAGTTGATTGGCTTCGGAGCTGCCATTACGGTGGAGACATGAGATCGTACCACCGGCTCACTACCCTCTCCGTTTGCCTCTCCGTCCTATACTGCTCCGTTAACTCCACTGCATCGTCATCACCAAACGGATCCACCCTGGCATTCGCAGCTTCTTTTTGGGCCATTTCTATGGTATGTCTGCGAATCGCTTCAGATGCGGGTATAAGGAAATCAAAAAAGTGTTACAGAGGTGTGTCGTGAGCAACAAAGGAGTTAACACTTGGGATGTTTTGATTTTTTGCAAACAAGTAGGTGAATCGAATAATCCCAAAAGCCCAAGGCTTACCCGTATTCCAAGGGTCACAATTAATTTTCGCCAGTTTGAAAACTTTTCAAAATATCTGCCAAAACTGTCTTTTCAACACCCATAATGACCTATCGTTTCATTTCTGATCCAACGCCTAATCTCCCCCCCTGCAGGATGTTGCCACATGTACGACCACGATCCGCTGTCTCCTCCCCTTACCCTGTCTTTTCCACTTCAAATCACCACGTGACACGCCGCCTCTCGAGCCCCACACCCCTCCACCTCACCCTTCGCGGTCGACCCTCCTCGTGGTCGGCCCTCCCACTCGGTCACCCTTCGCGGTCGGCCCTCCTTGTGGTCGACCCTCCCACTCGGCCAACCTTCGTGGTCGGCCCCCTTCGCGGTTGGCCCTCATCGTGGTCGACCCTCCCACTCGATCAACCTTCGCGGTCGGCCCTTCTCGTGGTCAGCCCTTCCACTCGGTCAACCTGCACGGTTAGACCACCTCCTGGTCGGTTCACCCTCTCGGTCACGCCTGCCGGTCGACCTCCATCCTGCCAATCCCTAACACCCTCATTTTCTTCATTAGTATTTCCTTCGTTGGACTAAAGCTGCACTCGGGAATGGGGGACGACTGACGTGTATAAGCCCATAAAGGCCATGAATCACTATGAACAACCCAAGCCCATCACTTGGAGCCCAATACATAACCCAGCTGGTGAGGTCCAGAACAGTTGGAATCCAACATGGCATAAAAAGCCAATGACATTCAGACACATGGCAGGTGAAGGATGAGCCACATCAGCAGACAAAGATCTGCAAAGTTATTGCCACTGCATATCACCATTAATGCAGCCCATCACAGCATTTATTACGACAACACCTCTCCGTCGGAACAGGACCCCTTTACCCTGAACAAGGTGTAACAACCTTCGTACTGTTTACCGATTAATGACTGATTGATTACCGATAACCATCGATTACCGTTAAACTAAATTGATCATGACTGATAAATAAACTGATTAAAAGTACTGAACTGACTGACCGAAATTGAAACTGAATTGAATGAATACATCTGTTTGAATTGCATTTTATCTGTTGACTGTTTGTTTGATCTGTTCATGCTTATATGTTTAAACTGCTAATTGAAGGCCTTATCGGCGGCCGAATTAGAAATTGATTGGTGTTTTATGATCAACATAATTAATGTGATTTTATGGTATAATTATCTGAAAACTGATTAGGTATGATTAAATTAGATTGAAATAAGCTAATTAAAGAGTTAGGCTTAATTACTATTAGACCACTTAGTGGCCACTACTTCACACATGTTGTTGAGCCTTGTATACACTTCACTCAAAACATTTCATCAGCTCACTCTTGTGCTTAACCGACCAAGAGAGGGAGAGGGAGAGAAATTGGGTTTTCATCTTGTGAATTGTTTGGAGATTGAAGAATTGTTGAAGAGATTGCATGTTTGAGCTCCCTTCTTGAACTACAAGACTTAAGGTAGCTCCATTGTCTTCTTGTTCATGCTTTGAGTTGATTGTTGCATGGTCCATGTTAAAATGTAGAACTAAGTCATGAATTGGTACATGAATGGTGAATTGAAGCTCATTTCTTGCATGCATGTTTGAATTAATGAGTTTTGAGTTGAATTCATGGCAAAAAGGTTACATACATGTTCATGATTATGTTAAGTCCATGATTTCACCATGTTTTGAAAAGAATTGGCTCCTTAGAGCTTCAAATTGAAGCTTTGAATTGATTTGAATTCATGCATGTTTGCATGTTCTTCATGTTCTTGAAATTGGTTTGAAATTGGGTTTGAATTAAACACCCTTGGGCTTTGATTTCTCAAATTGAGCTTTGAACTATGATATTCTATGTGTTTGTAAGAGTTTTCCAGGAAATGAGCCCAAGAGGATCGGTTTTGAGTTGTTAACAACTTGAGTTCGAGCTTGGAGGTGCAATCTGGGTTTTCCAGATTTTGCACTCCCGCTCGAGCGGAGAACTGGGCGCTCGAGCGTAGAATCCGAGCATCCAGTATTTCTTTGCACTGTTTTACAGTCCGCTCGAGCGGAGGATTGGGCGCTCGAGCGGAGTCATGTCTCAAGCTCGAGCGGGCGTCGAGCGGAGATTTCACCCATCCAGTACTTTTACAGTACGCTCGAGCGGGAAAGTTTACGCTCGAGCGTGTACCTTTGTTGCATGACCGCTCAAGCAGGGAAACTTGCGCTTGAGCGGGACTCTGTTTTCTGAAAATGCTTGTAAATGTGCATCTTTGCATCCTCATCCCATTCTAGGCATTCTTAGGCCTAGTTTAAGACATCTTGTTGAGGATATAGATGTAGAACACACCGAGGCATTAGGGATTAAGTTGTTATCTTTCCCAGCTGTGTACCTTAGTGTGTTCAATCTGTTATCTGTGTAGGGTTGGCGACTTGGGAGACACACTCTAGCATACTGTAGCCCAAACTCTGTGAGTAACGATTGTGTAAAGATATGTTCACAAATGAATATTTTCTGAACAACTGAACTGTACCGTTTTCTGAACTGATTACTGTTAATTGAATGAATGTATGTCCTATATTCTGAACTGTATTGTGGCATCCTTAGCACTACTGTTTACTGTTACTGCTACTGTTACAGAGATCTCTGTCGGTTCCCTCGCGGAACCACTACTGTTTACTGACTGATGGCCATCATTACTGTTCGGTCTTTAAGACCTACTGTTTACTGCTATGCTAATGGATGTACCACATATGACTGAATAACTGTTCTAACTGAAAGACTGAAGTATTGTTTAATGAACTGATTTCATTACTGTAAGGACATTTCATTCATGACCTCTTTACACATTATGTTATTCACTGGGCTTTAGCTCACTGTTTATATATATATATGTAGGTGCTCAGCCACCAGAACAGAGCTAGGAGCGTGGGTTAGACTCCAGTTTTGTCAAGCCAGCCTTTGTGCCTCACTGCGAGGTTCCGAGTTGCCATGCTATGGCTTTGGGGTGTTTGTTTTTCCCCCGTCTGTCTCCATACTGTTTGGATTACTGTATAGACTGTCAGCTACTAACTGTACTGTTATCAAGGGATTAGGTCCCTGTACTGTGTGACTGTAAATTCTGTATAGACTGTACTGTTTGTATATGTATGAATGCACGAAAAATCTTTTTGGCATACAGACTGACACAGCTCATTGGACATTGTTTAATTACTGTATTGGCTTCCGCCAGGCCCTGTACTCTGTTCTACTGTACTACTGCATCTGTAGGCCTTCGGTAATCTCGGATTACTGGCCGGTTACGGTACTAAACCCATAGGGCCGGGTTTGGGTCGTGACACAAGGTAAGCTACAACATAGACTTTCGGCGAGGAGGACAGGTCGGAAGGGACAGGGAAATGATTACCAAAGGATATAAGCAAACGTTGAAGACAAGAAGAAGGTTAAGCTTTCTATCTCTAATCTCTCTCTACACCCTACTTCTCCTTCTAACTTGCTCGTCGGAGGGTTCACTGGGGGACTACCCCGTTCCCCGTTAGACTTGTTTGCAGGTTATCCGGTGGGCTTGATCATTTGGACGTGGGCCTGAGGAGCTTGGACCTGTCTAATCCATTCACTGGAACAAACCGTATCATCAAATATCATAATTCCTCCAACTATAATCTCATCAGCTCTAGCATTGAAAAATGTATCCATGTCCTTTGCAAATTGAGCTGCATAAACATCAGCAATTTCTTTCGAGGCAATTGTATAATGAATCTTTCCCTTGTTCCATGCAAGAGAGCCATTGTCCAACAACTCTTCTGGAACCTTAGAGAGCCAATGGAGTGCAAAAGAGGAATACATCAAATGGATAGAGGACTTGGGGAAGAACCGACCGTAGAAAGAGTCTGGCACTCCTGCAGCAAAGTAATTCCTATCAGGAGGCAGAGTAGTGAAAAGGGTGTTGAAATCATTGGAAGCATGATCATTGAAGAACAACTGAAATTCAGGCATCTCAGTTGTGAGATTTTTTGAATGGTATTTCCATTCAATGGCTTCTAGGATACTTTTCATAGCATTGAAAATGTTTGGCCCGACAGAACAACCCAAATCTGTAATTCTAATAGAGTTTGAACTAAAACTAAGGCTTGTTATGTCAAACTTCTTAGCAATTGCCTCTACGATAGAAGGTTATAATGTGTGATTTAATTAGTTAATATACAATTAACATAAAAGGTTATATCTATAATAGAAGCGAGGGAAACAGAAATAAGGTAGAGGCGTATTAAGGTCATTCTTCACTTACCGTTAACGGAATTAGTGTTGCATTTTAGTCCAAAATCACAAGAGTTCTCTTTGACTATTTTTAAATGATGGGGTAAACTGCTCATGGGTCAAACCACAAGGGGGTAAAGTAGATTTTGCCCTTAATTATTCTTCATTAATCATGTTCTTTTGTTCTCCCAAGGAAATTGTAAAGGAAATGAATGGCTATAAAATTTTGGAAGATTACATTGTTCCAGAATGTGCATAATAAAATGTGAATTGCTAGGGGCATTAGCATTTTTTGGCAACACTCTGCTAACTGTTATCTTCTTGGTGAATGTACCATTCCCAGAAAAGGCTTCTAGCACTATTACAATGTTATTTCTCTGGCATGGTTTGCATGCTATAAATGTTGAGAATGCCACAATATTCATGGATTTAACCCTTTTTTTGTACTGTAAGCAGCAAGCTCTTGCATGCCACTGCGGAAAGAGATCTTGAAGCTTGGGAACTTGTACGTTTTGTTTCCCTTCTTTATATTTTCCCAGTAATCCACTCATCTGGTGTCCACCAATAAACAAATGATTCAAGTGATTCTTACAATCTGTAGATAAGGTGATAGGTATGGTTGTGAAATTCTTTTACACTGATACTCATTACCAATAAGATGTGAAGAATCTGACAGGAGTACTATATTTCACTTGGTTTAATAAACTTTCCTCTTCATCATGATTTGAAATTTTATTTTATGTTGGTTTCCTACAATGTTGTGAATTCTGTTCTTGTTATTTTTAGGTCAGTACCAATATATTGCGTATAGTGGACCAGTCGATATCTCGTTGTCTCTCATGTATGCCATGTATCATAAAAAAGGAGAGTTGCATTGTATGCTGAATGAACATCCACGCAAAAGCTATATTACAATGGCACAACACATGAGCCAGTGGATTTGGTATGTATGCTTTCATATCTACTTCGTAAACAAAGGGAAGAAAAGGAAGGTTAAAACCACCCTTGTTTTTTGTTAAATGAAATGTTGTTTGGCCTACATAGATGTTCATCTTATCATACATTGGCGCTGTTTGGGGCAGCTTATGCGAGTTGTTTATAACTTTTTTGTTTTTTTTAGGGAGTCTACATTTTATTAACCAGAAATAACTTAACTAAACTGAAAAAAAATAAAAATAAAAAGATTATCTGAAAGTTAGGACGAGGGTGTTTTTGGCTTATGCTTTCTAATTATTAGTTTTTAACTAACAATAAGTTGCACTAAACAAGCCCTATATCTATGCTGTAATTCTTTGGACAACTATTAAAGAGCAGAATTTTGTTGTTACTTAACAAAGCAGTTCAGATTTCGCCGACAAAGCAGTTCAGATTGGGTGATTCTACATTTCCCAATATGATTCTACATTTCCCATAAATTTCCACATTTCCCCAATATCCCTATATTTGCAAAGTTTGGGTAGAGAGTTTACGATACAATCAGAAGTTGAATGACACATCCTCCGATTCCTCCATCTGCTTATCTTCTGGCTTTTACATCTTCAATGGATGATATGATAAGTATAAAAGCATCCAAGTTATAATATTCATAATAAACTAAAGCCATATGTAAAATAAATTGATGTATTATTATTGATTGATAATATCCCTATATTTGCAAAGTATGGGTAGAGAGTTTACGATACAATCTGAAGTTGAATGACACATCCTCCGATTCCTCCATCTGCTTATCTTCTGGCTTTTACATCTTCAATGGATGATATGATAAGTATAAAAGCATCCAAGTTATAATATTCATAATAAACTAAAGCCATATGTAAAATAAATTGATGTATTATTATTGATTGATTTTTGTGTATTGATTGATGTGTGTGTTGTGTATATTACAAGGAGTTATATAGGAGAGGATTTGGGAGTAGGTGAAGGTGGCAGTGGAGGTGGTAGGTGGAGTGGGTGGTAGTGGAGGTGGTAGGTGGAGTGGGTGGTAGTGGAGGTGGTAGGTGGAGTGGGTGGTAGTGGAGGTGGTAGGTGGAGTGGGTGGTAGTGGAGGTGGTAGGTGGAGTGGGTGGTAGTGGAGGTGGTAGGTGGAGTGGGTGGTAGTGGAGGTGGTAGGTGGAGTGGGTGGTAGTGGAGGTGGTAGGTGGAGTGGGTGGTAGTGGAGGTGGTAGGTGGAGTGGGTGGTAGTGGAGGTGGTAGGTGGAGTGGGTGGTAGTGGAGGTGGTAGGTGGAGTGGGTGGTAGTGGAGGTGGTAGGTGGAGTGGGTGGTAGTGGAGGTGGTAGGTGGAGTGGGTGGTAGTGGAGGTGGTAGGTGGAGTGGGTGGTAGTGGAGGTGGTAGGTGGAGTGGGTGGTAGTGGAGGTGGTAGGTGGAGTGGGTGGTAGTGGAGGTGGTAGGTGGAGTGGGTGGTAGTGGAGGTGGTAGGTGGAGTGGGTGGTAGTGGAGGTGGTAGGTGGAGTGGGTGGTAGTGAGCTGGCAAGGTCACTATCATCATCCCTCCCACTTCAATCTCATCAGCTCTGGCGTTAAAAAAGGTCTCCATGTCCTTGGCAAATTGAGTGGTATAAGCATTAATAACTTCTTTTGGGGCACTTGTGCAGTGAATTCTTCCCTTATTCCATGCAGGACAACTCTTGTCTAGTAGCTCTTCTGGTACCTTAGAGAGCCAATGGACTGCAATAGAGGAATGTACAAAATGAAGAGAGGACTTTGGGAATAACCGACCATGGAATGAACCAGGCACTCCTGTAGCAAAGTATTGCCTATCGGGAGGGAGGGAAGAGAAAAGGCGGTTGAAATCATTGGAAGTATGATCGCTGAAAAATAGTTGAAATTCGGGCATCTCAGAAGTGGCATTTTGGGAATGAAATTTCATTTCCATGGCTTCTAGTACATTTTGCATAGCAATGAAAGTGTTTGGTCCAACAGAACAACCCAAATCTGCAATTCGGATAGTGTTTGAACTGAAACTGAGGCTTGTTATGTCAAACTTGTCAACAATTGCATCTTTGATCATTTCCTTTACAGAATCTGAAGATGTTCTCTGCAAAAAAATAAACCAAATGTGTATGTTATTCATGTTTTTTTGTTTATCATTACCATAATGAATGATTGGTGCATTTTAAGTTTGCTTTAGTTAAAAACATAAGATCTACTTGAAAATTAATCAATGGAGTCATATTTGCTGAACAACTTTGTTATCTTTTCATGACATCACTATGCCGAGATACGAATTAATGAAATTTCTAAGTAGTGAAACAAAACCAAAAAAATAAAATAAAAAATCAACTGTCTCAAAATCTGTCTTGGTGATTCCATATATAAATAAATACATATATATTTTATATTAGAAAAATGAATTTAAGGTTAATTTTACCAACTCACCTTTCATTGGGTCCCATATAATGTACTTAACTGCCCAATGTGGATGAAATATAACATAAAGGCAATATTGAGCTAATTTAGAAATTTAAAGGACTTAATTGAATGAAAATTAAGTTCAAAGGTTAGATTGAAAAAGATGTAAAATTCTAAGGCTTCTGGCATAAAATTAAAAAATCACGTGACATTAAACTTATATTCATTCATAACTACATGCAACTCTTGAAATTATAAATAATTTATTTATTTATTTATTTATTTATTTGTACATAACACGAATCGACTATTAACCTGTACAAAAGAAATACCTGATACTGAGAATTTTTTGTGTAACTGTAGGTGCCATCTCCACCATTCATAGGAAATGCTTTTGATTTCATGACTATGTCACCGCTCATCGTTCTTCCTTTTCCTCTGTCAAGTAAACTAAAGAGTCCTTGGTTTATATACAAGGTCATATATACACATTTATATATATACATGTATGTGGCCACATCACAAGAATAAAATAGATACAGGACTGATCATACTGCTTATAAGCGGATAATGGGAAAGTACATAAAATCAATAAACCGGAATAAGTCTGAAAATCAACTAAGTAAAGAACGTATATCGACAACCTACATAATACCAAACCAATTCAAACCTGAAGTCCCATGGGATCGGCTACATAAATCATTATTCTCTACTCGACTCTATCAAAGGCTATTTAATTAGTCAAATTAAGAAAATTTATATCTCTATTTACATCGACAACCTACATAATCCAACACTTATTACAAATCTAATCCAATGTGTATCATTTTTCTATATTAGCCCTAGACAATATCGAGTCATCCAAAATGTCCCAATTTTTCTATACTTGGTATTTTTTCATACTAACATTTACTAACTAAAAATGGTGATATGCATGCACATCAATGTCTGCAAATCTATCCAGGAATACATTTTTGAGGTTAGAGAATTAAAACCCTAACTTAATAATTAATAATTTTCAATCTCATGCAAATCATATATATCAATCAAAGTTCATTAAATATCATGAATGGAACACTTTTAGGGTGTGTTTGTTTGGATGGATTGGATAAAGGGATTGTAATCCATCGGACTGGTAGTCTTGAGATATATTGTTTTCGGACTTTTTGGTTGGACTGAATTTATATCCTATGTTTGTTTAGTCATGGGATTAGATGTCTGGATTAGATTATTTTTAGTGAATCCAATGTTTGGTTGGACAGACTGGATAAGGATAAATGTTCAATAAACTATTTTACCCTTGTAATTTATAATTTTTATTTAATATATAATTTTAAATTTGTAATCTATAATTTATAATTTAACAACACTAAAAATTTTTAATTTATAAGGCCATAATTTTTAATTTATTATTTTTAATTAAATTAAATTTAAATAATTTATAATTTATATTTTTTATTTAATATGTAATTCTAAATTAACAACACTAAAAAAATAATTTTTAAATGTTCAAAAGACTATTTTACCCTTTTTCAATTGTTTATTAAGTAATAACATCAGGGTAAAATGGACATTTTACATATTAGTCTCATAGGATACCAATTCTATGGAAATAATCTCACCCCTCCCCTAGTATACAATAATCTCTTATATGAGGGACTAATAGTCCGAAGGGACTATTGATCTGAAACAAAAAAATTGAACCAAACAATGTGGACTAATAGTTAAATCCTATGAAATAATCCCTCAAAACAAACATACTCTTGGGATTTTAATCTGAAAACAACCATCTAGCTCAAACATATAATTTTAGGCATGAACGTTACATATCTTGTGATTTTCTCAAGAAAATTTAAGAAGAATGAAGGAGAGAATGTATTCGACATGTATTTTTTTAACTAAAACAACAAATAATGGAAATAAATCAATACATGTGACACAACTCTTATTAAACCTAGACATGAGTTTTAATACAATAATATATAGAAGAAAAACTCACCTCTTAAAGCTTTTAAACACAAAAATGCAACAGGGGATGATATGGAGACATGGATTTGTGACTCTCCCAATGTACAAAGTTTATATACAAAATGGTTTTTTATATACAAAATGGATCATAGGGAAACCAAAAGAAATTGGGTTTAATATTTTTAATACACACTACAAAGTAGCCACGCGTTTCATGCGCCTTTGTTTGTTTGTATGCTCTAACACCAGTTGATGATTGTGGTTCTTCTTTTTTCTCACAGGGCTGTTTGGATGCAGTTTATTAAAATTATTTTTCATTTTTTTATTTGGAAAGCCAAATTATTTTGTATAATTTCTGTTTATATCTTATTAGAAAAAAATAATTTAAATAAATTTTTAAAAAATTGATTTTTAAAAATTGGATTTGGAATCGGTTTGGAAACTTTACATTTTAATCCAAAAATTAAAAAAATACCAAAAAAATAAAAAAGTCAACAAATATTAAAAAATTAATTAATTAATTTTTTTCATTCACTTTACTTTTTGGACTTGAAAATATCAAAATGGCTTATTAGAGCATCTCCAACGGTTCACCTAATTTTTCACCAAATCTGAGTAAAAAAATTACTATTTTCTCAATTTGATATAGAATGCTCCAATGGTTGATTTTCATCAAATTTATTCCAGGGATAACCGGTTGGTCGATCGGTAAGGCAATTTTTTTTTTTGAATTGTTTGAACCTACCTATTTGAACTGTTTGAACCTTTTAGTGGTCCAGGCAAAAATAAATTTTTTTTTTGAATTGTTTGAACTTATCCATTTGAACTGTTTGAACTTTTTTGTGGTCGACCGGTTGGGCAACCGGCCGGGCAACCGACTGGTTGACCAGTTCCTCTCCTCCAACGGTCATAAACAGTAATTTGCTGAAATCTGTATCCTGTTCTCAGTTTGATGTATTTTTTGTTCAATTCTCAATTTGATACCAGTTTGGTGAAACCGTTGGAGCTTAAAAAAGTGACTTTTTCACCAAATTTTAAATTTGATGCCAGGTTTGATGAACCGTTAGAGATGGTCTTAAAGTGACAACTTTGATGATGATGTAAGATGTGTAATTAATAGTGTAAAAGTGAAGGCTAAAAGGGGGAAGTTGTTGGTTGGTCCAAGAACAATGTCACGTGGTGTTTTATGTACGTTGTGATTAGTGGAAGATGTGAGATTTCCGATTTTGTATTGAGTGATTGAAAAATATAAAGAGATATGATGATTTAATTTGTGATTGATTAGGGCAATTAATAATTTTTCATATAAAAAAAAAAGTAAGAATTTACTTAGACGAGAGAGGGAGTAAAATCAGCCATTAAAGTGGGGGGTAAAGATGTAATTTTACCTCCTAGGGCTTTTAGTCCCCTGTCACTCCCAATTTTTGTGTAAAAATAATACAATTTTAAATCTTTTTCTGTACAATTAAATTCTCAAATTTTCAGAATAATTTTAAATATTATGTACCAAGTCTGGAGAGTTCATCTCCCAAATTTTAAATTGAATCGGGGCCTTGGGACATGTAAATCAAGATATTTATACACTAAAATCCTTAATTCACTAGAATGACTTTAAAATTAACTTAATATACTCTATTAACATTAGAATAACATATACGGAATTTGAAAACTTAATCTCTTGAATCTTGAACTGAATCAATCTCTGATAAAATTGAGGTTGTGCAATTCTTAAACAATTAAGATGATTCTAAATTATCAAAATGCATTATATTAATTGAAATATCATTCGTCTCTTAAGTCTCAAGGCCACCTGAAACTTAATGCACACGAATCAAGATGATGAATTTCTTAAAAAAATTAACTAACGGAAGTCTAAACTAAAGTGATAAGAATAGTATAAGGTCATATTTGATTCACAAGATTAATAGGGAATGTATTAATAATCACATCAAATTAGTGTGACATTCACTATCTAATTAGATTAGTATGATAAATTGTCCCCTTGTCCCTTATTTAATTTTTATTGGATAAGAAAACATCTGAATGTAAGATTACAGCTATATTTATCTTTTTTTTTTTCTAATCTTATCCTCTATCAAAGTTTCTTCACAATCTTTACTTTATCAAAATTTCTTCATAAACATGGTTTTGAAAAAAATTATAAATAAATAAATAAAAGCAAAATAAAAATACAAAGGCCATGTTTGTTTTTTTTTTAGATTTTTTTTTTAAAAAAATATAAACTAATTTGATAAAATAAATATCAAAAAATATTTTCAAAATTTTAAAAATTATTTTTAGCCTTCTAAAATATAAAATTATATAAAAATAATAAGTGTTTTAATTTTTAGTCGAGGGTAAAGGAGTCTTTTTATTTTATTTCCTAGCTCAGGATATATAATCTCACCCCTACCCTATTGCTAATAGTCCTACAAAATTGTTGGATTAATTATCTGTAACGCCCCAAAAAAATTATAATATCATATAAGTACGTCAACCAACGTTCATTATAAGAAAATATGTAATTATTCAACCTTTACATCGTTGATTATTTCGGCTTGTACAAAATAGTTTCACATGTGAATTATACATTCAATAATATCAAATACATGAATCTATAGCATGTAGAACATCAAATCCAAAAATAAATAAATGCCCTCAAGGGCTTACAAATTTTAAGGATTAAGCTCGGTTACACAAAAATGGTCTCTTAGACCCATACAAGTATAGCCCTTGGCTAGTAAAAATACATCACAACAAAAGAGGAGCCATATGCTCTCAACAAATATGTCCACATCCTAATTCGGTGGAATTGCCACATCCTTTCCTGCACCAAAATCCCATAGGTGTGAGCATAAATTCCAGTAAGAAATTCTTAACAAAGTATATACATTTTATACAAGCTTCACAAACTGAAATGCATACGCCATGCTATGCATTTTTAAAGCAAAATCACATTACATCTTTTGAAAACTAACATGCTCCATGGTAACTTGAAATCTCCACAATTCAAAATTTATCAATTTAATTCAAGGGGAGCGGTAAATATGACTCAGGTAATCCCTAGATTAGTGTCTGCAAGTAGGCATAGCTAGCACTACCAAATCCCCACTTCACCTGTAGTTAACCGGAAAGCACGTAGTACATCATCCGCGCGTATTTTTGGTCTTTCACCCCGGATACTCAGGCCAATTTAAAATAATTTCATCTACACCTCTTATCCGGACTTACTAACGTATTTACCGCAAAACATTTCAATAAATCTCATTATACAATATTTCAAAGTTTCAAATCCCAATTCAATCTTTATAACAAACAAAGTATTGAAATGCCAATGCAACAATTATCAATGCAATACAATACTCTCCCATTTTCAATTCATCCACACAACTCAATCATGGTAATAACGATTTCCAATTCCTTTTTAATGTAATTTCACAAGATCACTATATCTATAAAGATTCATCTTTAGTAACAACATTACCACACTTCATGTGTTCTCAACAAATTAGTCACTTCATGACTATATTTACAACTTCAACAATACATCCCCAAAATCCATCATTTCTCATATTCAACAAAATTTACCATTTTACACAGAATCAATTAAGAAATTTCCCAAATCATTCATTCATTGTGGCATACTAACAAGTAAATAAAAAAAAGTTTCATAGATTCTCAACCCTTTTTGAAATCTCAAATTTCTAGGTTTTTGACAAAAATAGGCATCTCTTTATCTTTTTGAAAGGCAACGCACCCAAAGCCCCTTTTCTCACACAATGTAGTTGAAACTTTGAAGAAATAGTTTGGAAAGAGTCAAAAGTTAAACCCATTCTTACAACTTCTATCCTCATTGAACCAAAGACCAAAATTTTCATAATATTATCAAGGAAGCTCCAAAAAAAAACACAAATCTTGCAAAAACATATATATGACTCTAAGAAAATCCCTACCTCAATCTCGTTGAAAGAAAAGAGATGAAAGCCCTAAATTCGACGGTGTTGAAATCCTATCTCCACTGCACAAGATGAAGCCCTCGGTTAGTTCTTCAAATTTTGTAAAGGATGATGGGTCAAAATGCTAATGGATGTGGAGAGATCAAAGATCTTGTGATGTTTTTGGTGAGAAATGTAGAGAGAAGGAAGAGGAATGTGTTTTCAGAGAGAGAGAGATATAGGAAAAGTGATATACACTCAGCCCCAAAAGAGAGAAAAGACAGAATTTTTAGACTCAGCGGAGTCCCGCACGTGCGGCATCCATACCCGCACGTGCGGAGCGTTCTCCTGCACATGCGGCGCTCTTACCCCGCATCTCCAGCCGCACCTGCCTTTTATGCAGTAGACAACCAGAATTTCCCCTGCTCCCCGCACGTGCGGCCTCACCCCCCGCACGTGCGACCCCCATCCCGCACGTGCGGCTCAGCCCTTCCAGCCAAGAAACTCTTCAACTCAACCCAAGCCACTCCGAACCTAACCTCGCATCTTCTGAAACATGAGAAATTCGACATAGAAATAAATGAAAGCAAGGATTTGAAACAAGTTTCCAAATACAACAAAACGAATCCTTAACAAGACTCCTGGTCATCACATTATCCATTGGATTAATAATCCTGAAACAAAATTTCAAAACAAACACAGGATTATTGAGCCCACGGATTAATAATCTCAATCCCATGTTTTAATCCTGTCAATCAAACATGCCCTGAGAGTTTTGTTATAATTATCAAAGTTATTACATTATTTAAAAGTTAGAATTGTCTGCTTCATTACGAGAGAGATGCTAGGATGTGCACCCTAAAAAATGTGCATATGGTGTGCCTCCCATAACATTTTTACAAAATTTTATAACTTAATAACTTTTTTATTACAAAAATATAACTTTCTTTCAACATAAAATGTCATTACAAAAATTACAAAGTGTCGTAACATTAACAACCCTAACATTAGGGTGCACACCATAAATACATTATGCATAATTTTACCTCAAAATGTCATAACATTCATCACAAATAATCATAACTTTTATCATAAAAAATCATGACTTTCTTATGATGTGCACCTTTTTAAAAAGTGCACGTCGTAGATTTCTCCTTATTACGATGTGCACGCTTTAAAACCAAAAATAGTTGGGTTCCTTTCACGCAGCTTGATTCCAACATGGAGGAGATCTTCGCAGATTTATTAAGGCCTCGTTTGGGAACAGGCTAATTTAGTAACTTTTTGGCTATTTGGCTAAAAAGGTAGGTAAAAAAAACTTGTATGTTTGAAGAGTTCGTTCAAGCAATTCATTGAAGATCTTACTCCCAAAGTGTTTGGTGAAAATTCCTTCCAAGCCAACTCTATAGTGCATTAGTATTGCTGGCAAATTAGGTGGTCCATCATTCTTTGGCCTGATATTACTTACCTCCATTCTCTCTATGCTGAAACACCCATTTCTTTCCATTAGCTTTGTCATCTCTTTGGCAGAGGCAGTATACAAAGGCAAATTAAAGGATTCCACTTCATCTTCATTGATCATTCCCTGCCACAAAGATTAACATTAATGTCTTGGCCTTAGAGGTCCACTCTCTTAATCTCACTTGAGTAACATTAAAATAGGACACAAATTTATGAAAGATATAAAGATTCATTATACATTTCGGTTCAGAAATATTCCTACCAATTTAGTAGAACAAGAAGGGAAGTTGTAATTTATTTATTTATTTCCAATTGAGTTCAAAATTAGCGAAACTAAAATCAAGCAAAAATTAGAACACATTTTTGTTTCAATTTGTCCTCATTCTCTATATGATCATAAGTATTTGTTCAGATTTCTAGTCCAAACATTAACCTCCTTTATTGCATAATACTTAAATTTGACTTACCAATTTCACCATATCAAGGAGATTGGTTGAAAGCATAAAAAAAGGACAACATGGGTCCTGAGAGCATTGAACGCCATTTGCGAGACCTGGCATGATCAATATCATCATTCCTCGACTATAATCTCACCAGCTCTAGCATTGAAAAAGGTATCCATGTCCTTTGCAAATTGAGCTGCATAAACATTAGCAATTTCTTTCGAGGCACTTGTATAATGAATCTTTCCCTTGTTCCAAGCATGAGAGCCATTGTCCAACAACTCTACCTTAGAGAGCCAATGGAGTGCAAAAGAGGAATACATCAAGGCCATGTTTGTTTGGGCGGACTGGATTAGTATTCCCATGACTAATAGTCTTAGGACTACCAATCTATTGGATTATGTATCCTATCTTAACTAATAGTCAAGTTTAAAATAATTAATCCGTACTTCAATTGTTTAACCAAACATTGGATTAATAATTTTATTGGACTATTAGTCTAATCCCAAGCTCATGTCCATCCAAACAAACATGGCCCAAATGGATAGAGGACTTGGGGAATAACCGACCGTAGAAAGAGCCTGGCACTCCAGCAGCAAAGTATTACCTATCAGCAGGCAGAGTAGTGAAAAGGGTGTTGAAATCATTGGAAGCGTGATCATTGAAAAACAACTGAAATTCAGGCATCTCAGTTGTGAGATTTTTTGAATGGTATTTCCATTCAATAGCTTCTAGGATATTTTTCATAGCATTGAAAGTGTTTGGCCCAACAGAACAACCCAAATCTGCAATTCGAATGGTGTTTGAGCTAAAACTAAGGCTTGGTACGTCAAACTTCTTAGCAATTGCCTCTTTGATCATTTCCTTTACAACATTTGTGGCTTCATCCTGCAAAAATAGACCAAATTTATGTATATTATTGTTACCATCATCACTATAAAAAAGGATTCAAAATATTTAATTTGAATTGAGATATAATCTTAATTGAGATATACTTATTTAATGAATAATAGATTCAATCGCTGGATTCTTCGATATTTCATCTAATCCATTAGTAGTTTGTGTACCTTGTTTGGATATTTTGGATCTAAATATATATATATATATATATATTTTATTATAGATAATATGGTTTTTATGAAATGAATGATTGGTTCATTTTATACATTTTCCATAGTTAAAAAAATACCACATCAAATTGAGAAATGTTCAATAGAGTCATATTTGATGGCCCATTTTGTTATCTTTGCATGACACATCCCAAATATCATTATAAATTATAATAATAACAGGTGTAATGAGGGCAAACAATAAGAATTCTAGTTCAAAAAAAAAAAAAAAAAAAAAAAGCAATTGACAACATTTTTACAAGAATCTTGTAAATAATAATTTTTACAAGAATTCTAGTATTGCTCGTGAATTAATATTTTTATGTCTTTCACACATCCATAAACAATACTTTAATATTCAAGAGATATCAAATCAATTTCTCCAATTTAATAGCCAAACACCTTACCCAATATTCCAAACTCTATTGTCAAAACTACACCTACACAAACTACTATTGCACTGTTTTTAACGACCCATACAATTACACTATTACACGTTGCACCGTACATCCAATACATCAAAACTTAGGCATCCACACCGATTTTCTTTCCCACAATGTTTAGACTGTCTATTGCTCCATATAAAAATAATAAACAATGGTGCAGAAAAATCTTACCTCAATTAATGACATCTTGATTGTTCTGCGCCCTTAATTCCTATCGCAACTTTTCCCTTGAATCCTCTGTGAAATCGTGATAATAAAATAATATGAAATCTTTTTTTTTTTCTTCTTTCCCACGCACTCTCACTGCCGCAAGATATAAAAGACACAAATTGACTTAGTAACCTAATTTTCCAAAATTAAAATGTTACCTGTCTAAGTTACAAAAATTACATAATCACCCATAACTAAATTCTTATTATTTTAATTATATTACTAAAACTCGGATTTCACAATTAGAGTCACATCTTTGATGATGATGTCAGATGTGTAATTAATGGTGTAAAAGTGAAGGCTACTGTTTGCACCCGTTTTTGTAAAATGTTTGTCGACAAGTGCACAAATCAAATTGTGACATGTGGCAACAAAGTCGTAGTTGGGGTGCGTATTAATCAGAGGATTATGTGGCAAGGAAATGGTAGTCACGTGTGCAATACAACAAGAGCGTGTCATGGGCTAAGATTGTGGAGCAGTTGCAAGCTTTATTGGAGATCATGGGCTAATTTCTAGGAGATGTTGATGTTAATAGGAATTTCCTCTGTTGATCATGCTCATTAGTTAAGGGAAATTGGGTGATGATGTGGCTGGAGGTTTAAAAGTAAAGTTGGGACAAATATAAAAGTTCAAAGAAGCAAAGGAGATTGCAAGTAGTTATGGGTTTTAATAAAATGGTCCCCTCTGTCGAAGGTAGTGCTAGAGATAATGGGGGACATGTGGCAAGTCTGTGTGAAGTGCTAGAGAAAGATAAAGAAGCAGTTGTAGGCAACAGTTGGGGAAAGATTGGCCAGCAAATTTCAAGGAAGGTGGGATCATGTGCTAGAGTTTCAAGTGAAAGTATAAAAGCTGAAAGTTTGTAGAGAGAAAGGGCATCAACAACTCAACAACACTTAACTTTTGAACTTAGGAGTAGTTTTTTTTCTATAAAATTGTACTTGTAACTTAGTGAACTTTAGTAGTTTCATTCTGAAATTATTCTTTGTTTACTCTGTTTATTTTGTTTTTTTTAGTTGTTCCAGAGAAATCCTCATCCTTTTGAGGCATTCGAACTAATTCCACAGTTGCTTGATTGTTCTTATTTAAATTGTTTTGTTTAAATTATTGCTTGGTCACTGTCGATTAAGGCCTAGCATAATTTTTACTAATAGCTACAAAGGAAGAATTTATTGGTTGGTCCAAGAACAGCGTCACGTGGTGTTTTATATGCACTATAATTAGTGGAGGATGTAGAATTTACGATTTTATATTAGGTGATTGGGAAATATAGAGGGATGTGGTGATTTGTGATTAGTTAGGGATATAGCCACATGGTGCCTTGGACCAATCAATAATTTTTCCTATGAAAAAAGTAAGAATTGGCTAGGCGAGAGTGGGAGTACAATCAGCCATTAAAGTGGGGGTAAAGATGTAATTTTACCTCCTAGGGCTTTTAGTCCCAAAAGTCAATCCCAATTTTTGAGTGAAAATAATACAATTTTAAATCTTTTTCCGTACAATTAAATTCTCAAATTTTCAGAATAATTTTAAATATTATATACCAAGCCTGGAGAGTTCACCTCTCAAATTTTAAATTGAATCGGGCCTTGGTGCATGTAAATCAAGACATTTATACACTAAAATCCTTAATTCACTAGAATGACTTTTAAAATTAACTTAATATACTCTATTAACCTTAGAATAACATGTACAGATGAATCAGTCCCGAATAAAATTGAAGTTGTCAATGTAGTGCAATTCTTAAACAATTAAAATGATTCTAAATTATCAAAATGCAATATACTAACTAAAATATCATCTGTCTCTCAAGTCTCAAATCCACTTAAGAATCAGTGCATGCAAGTTAAGATGAAGTGATAAGAATATTATGAGGGTTTTGTTATAATTATCAAAGTTAATAAAGCCTCTATTACATTATTTAAAAGTTCGAATCGTCCCTTTCATTATGAGAAGATGCTCGAATGTGCACTCTAAAAAATGTGCATATGGTATGCCTTTCATAACGTTTTTACAAAATTTCATAACTTAAACACAAAATGTCATAACTTTTGTACTATAAAAATATAACTTTCTTTCAATATAAAATGTCATTACAAAAATTACAAAGTGTCATAACATTAGCATCCCTAACTTTAGGATATACATCATAAATTCATTATTCATAACTTTACCACAAAACGTCACAACATACCTCATAAATAATCATAACTTTTATCATAAAAGATCATAATTTTCTTACGATGTGCACCTTTTTAAAGGGTGCATGCCATAGATTTCTCATTATGATAAGGCGAAGGCAACATGAACTCAAATCATTTACGCTTTAAAACCAAAAATAGTTGGGTTCCTTTCACGCAGCTTGATTCCATCATAGAGGAAATCTCCGCGAATTTATTAAGAGTTCGTTCGAACAATTCATCGAAGATCTTACTCCCAAAGTGTTTGGTGAAAATTCCTTCTAAGATAACTCTATAGTGCATTAGTATTGCTGGCAAATTAGGTGGTCCATCATTCTTTGGCCCGGTATCACTTACCTCCATTCTCTCTATGCTGAAACACCCATTTCTTTCCACTAGCTTTGTCATCTCTTTGGGAGAGGTAGTAATATACAAAGGCAAATTGAAGGAGTCCACTTCATCTTCATTGATCATTCCCTGCCACAAAGATTACCATTAATGTCTTGGCCTTAGAGGTCCACTCTCTTAATCTCACTCGAGTAACATTAAAATAGAACAACAAATTCACTACAAAATTTTAGAAACCAAAATTTAAGGACAAAATTAGTTTTTAGAGATGAAATATTTTTATTGCGAAAAGTATTATTATTATATTTTTAGCAACCAAAATTGGACATTAGAGATGAATTATTATCTTTTGGAACCAAATTTTGTCACAAAAAATAAACCATTTTGAGATCAAATTATTTTGTCGCTAAAAGTATATTTATTAGTGACATTTTCAAAATTTTATTGCTAGAAGCCCCATTTTTTACTTTTCGCGAAAACCTTTTAGCGACTATCCTTATGACGATAGAAATTGATCTCTAAATGTCTTTTGTAACAAAATTTTTACTTTTAGAGACTAAAAAATTTGGTTTTTAAAACTCTTATATGTTGAAGTGATTTAAGAAAGATATAAAGATTCATTATGCATTTTGATTCAGAAATATTCTTACGAATTTAGTAGAACAAGAAGGGAAGTCATAATTTATTTATTTATTTATTCCAATTGAGTTCAAAATTAGAGAAACTAAAATAAAGAAAAAAGTAGAACACATTTTTGGTTCAATTCTCTATATGATCCTAAGTATATGTTCAGACTACTTGTCCAAACATTAGCTTCCTTTATTGAATAATACTTAATTTTGACTCACCAATTTCACCATATCAAGGAGACTCTGGTTGAAAGCATCAAAAAACGGCCGACGTGGGTCCTGAGAATAATGAACGCCATCAGCGAGACCTAGGATGATCAATATCATCATTCCTCCAACTATAATCTCATCAGCTCTAGCATTGAAAAAGGTATCCATGTCCTTTGCAAATTGAGTTGCATAAACATTAGCGATTTCTTTCGAGGCACTTGTATAATGAATCTTTCCCTTGTTCCAAGCAAGAGAGCCATTGTCCAACAACTCTTCTGGTACCTTAGAGAGCCAATGGAGTGCAAAAGAGGAATACATCAAATGGATAGAGGACTTGGGGAATAATCGACCGTAGAAAGAGCCTGGCACTCCAGCAGCAAAGTATTGCCTATCAGGAGGCAGAGTAGTGAAAAGGGTGTTGAAATCATTGGAAGCATGATCATTGAAAAACAACTGAAATTCAGGCATATCAGTTGTGAGATTTTTTGAATGGTATTTCCATTTAATGGCTTCCACGATACTTTTCATAGCCTTGAAAGTGTTTGGCCCAACAGAACAACCCAAATCTGCAATTTGAATGGTGCTTGAACTAAAACTAAGGCTTGTTATGTCAAACTTCTTGGCAATTGCCTCTATGATCATTTCCTTTACAAGATTTATGGCTTCATCCTGCAAAAATAGACCAAATTTGTATACATTATTGTTGTCGTCATCACTCTAAAAAAGGATTCAAAATATTTAATTTGAATTAAGATATAATCTTAATTAAGATTTATTCCTAAATTCTCATAATTTTAAAATTCTCTCTTTCCTACATGCAACCCTCTTTGATTGTCTTTCATGTTTTCAACCCTCTTTGATTATCTTTCATGTTTTCTATTTTCCTCCATTTTCTATTTGTTTGATTAATTAAAATGAAAATTAATTTCATGGTTTATAGATAAAGATTTGAATTTTAAAATTCCTCCAAATAGATAAACATATAAAAATTGATAAATAATTTATAAAAATTAATTTCATGGTCTACAGATAAAGATAGAAATTAAATAATTTATTTTAAAAAAATTAATTTTATAACTTATAGATAATTTAAAATTTCTTCCCATAAATGAACTTATAAAAATTGACAAATAACTTATAAAAAATAATTTCATGACCTACAGATAAGATAAAGATAAAGATTAAAAAATTGATTTTAAAAAAAATGAAATAATTTATGACTTTAGTTGCATTAATTCGATCATTTTTTCATTGAGTAACATATATAATTTTTTTTTTTTTAGCATATAATGATTAAAGCCATCATTTATTATATTTGTTCAAGAACAATTCAAATATTGTCATCATTTTTTTAATAAATAAAATGGATTAAAACTATTTTCTTATATAATTTTTATAATCTTACAAAATTCTTATCTTGATTTAAGCTTTTTAAATGTTGTAGGAACTATATTATTCAAGCCATGGAGAAAATGATTGTGAAGAAGGATTTATATGCATGTGTCATTGATAGAGGAAATCAAAGATGGAGAGTTGCTAATATGATTAATTAATGATTTATTTGAGAAGTTTTTTTTATGAGCATAGTAACAAAGTTAGATTAAATTTTTTAAAAAACTACTTAGAAATTATAATTAAAAATTAAGATTTATTCATAATTTGGTTCCACAATAATAATACAAACCACCGATTTACAAGTCTAAGCAAATTTATGATAACTTTTTTGAATTTATAGAATTTCTCTTTTTTAATACTTTGTTTTTGTTTTTTTGTTTTTTTAACAAAATCAAATAATGATTTATTTGAGAAGTTTTTTTTGAGTAGGGTAACAAACTTAGATTAAATTTTTTTAAAAACTACTTAGAAATTATAATTAAAAATTAAGATTTATTCATAATTTTGTCCCACAATAATAATATAAACCAATGATTTAAAAGTTTAAGTCAATTTATGATAACTTTTCTGAGTTTATAGAATTTCTTTCTTTTAATACTTTGTTTTTTTTTTTTTTTTTTTTTCTGCATGATATTATAACTTGATACAAGTTATTTATGTTATCAAGTGATTGTGATACTATTATTTCAACAATCTTTATGATTAAAATTTTTTTATGGATATCAAGTTTTATTGTGAAATTTTTTTTGTGGATTAATTATGGTTAACATCTACTAGGATGACCTAATATCATGACTTGCTGCTATTAAAACATAATTCAAAATTAGAATAATTTATTTATCACACAAAAGGTATATAGTCTAATTTTCCGTGCATAGCACATATTACCACTAGTGAATCATAGATTCAATCGTTTAGAAAATTAGTTAAATAGATTAAAATTTTCTTTTATCTGTTGCATGTTGGACAATCCATAGTAACTTGTTAGCATTAAGGTGTAAATAACCTTAGAAAAGGCATATGTAGAATTCCAAAAAGGAGTTTTACAAGATTTATTAATAAATTAGTCCGCATTTGGAAGTATAGTCAACCTAAAATAAATATAATAATAAACAAGACTCTTGTTAAAATTATAAATCAATAATTGTAATTACAAATTTTGATAACAAAAAAATATATATATTTCACGATACAACGAAACTTAAGAAACTTAAGGGGCAAGAGTATAATAGACAAAACCTTCAAAATGTTTTAAGGATCGAATTGGAACAAATCAAAAAGTTGAAGAACCAAATTGATGAAATTTAAGTACGAGTACTAAACTAAAATTTTGAAGAAACTAGGAGGACCGTTGATGTTGCAAGTTTAGTATTTTATGGAGTCATATGTCATTTTAATTGGTGTTGCAAGTTTTGGTTGAGATTCATACTAATCTTTGTTCTCACACAAAAAAATCATTAATATGAATCTAATTTGATAAATCTTCATGAAAATTTTTACATATATCAATTTTTATCAAAAACACAAGGCCTCTCCCAAACTCAAACCATCATTAACAAGGGGAGCTAAATAAACAGAGCATGATATATATATATATATATATATGTACATTAATATATTTTAAGAGAATCTTGTAATGAAATTTATTTCATTGGAGCAACCACAATGGGATGATTAAAATTATTTGTTAAAGTGTGTTATATGACAAAAAGTAATAAAAGTGAAATAAAAAAAATGTGTTAATGTTAAAAGTTTGTTAATTTTAAAGAATGGGTAGTGATGCAATGAATGTGTTAAGCAGTGTGTTAAGTGATATTTAAATAAAAAGATGATAATAAAAAAAAGTAAACATTGGTAACTTTTTCTTACTCTCTCACTTTCCCTCTCCTCTCCTCTCTCTCTCTCTTATCATCCGTGAAGTCACTGTAGTGGGTGGATCCCATCACCACTTTACTCTCTCTCTCTTCTCTCTCTCCCTCCGTTGATGGCCAGAACCACTGTTAACTGCGGCGAGCAAAATAACATCTGAAACTATTTTTTGAATTTAGCCAACTCCTTAACAACTCTATTGGAGTTGAAAATAACATCTTTCACTAGTTAAAATTTATAGATTGACACTAATATGTACACTAACAGCTCTGTGAATGTCCTTACATCTTTGGTTTCGGGTGAAAATTTTCACAATAATGATTTGATTATTATTATTCAACCAAAGAGATATATATAAAATAAAATAAGTACCTGATATCGAGAATTTTTGGAGTAGCTGTTGGCGCCATCTCCACCACTCATTGGTAACTCAAGGTTGCTGCTCATCTTTCTCTCTCTTTCTCAGTTTGGGTTTGTTGGGTTGGGAGTCTTTTGCTTTATAGACAGTTTGTCAATGCTCCACCGTCTTAAAATAAGTCTTTTTTTTTTTGGAAAATTTAAAATTTTTTTTAATAGTATAATTATTACATTTTAAAAATATTAATTTTTTAAAATTATCTTTTTATAGTATTTTTTTTAAGAATATTAATTGTCATAATTATACTTTTTGTGTTGTTAATAAATTTAAAAGAAAAGCAAAATAAGAAATTCATATTATTTTAGTCCGTAATTTTTGAAAAAGAACTAATATTTTGAAACGGTGGAATATATTTATGAGTAATATAACAGATTCAAACATAAAAATTCAAAAGTCATCCGGTATTTTATATCAATGGCTCCAATTCATTTTATATGTGGATTCAATATTCACCCTATATCACTCTTAAGAAAAATTTAAGCAAATATGTCATTGTCCATACCATTTTTGATATGTTTATACAAGGTGTTGTTGGGTATCATATGTCCAGTTATAATATTTGTAATATTTATTTGATTATGATTTATTATAATGTTGGTTATGACTCATTATTCTATTAGTTATAATCTCTTGTGATTTTTAGTGATTACGATAAAAAATGCTTTTAGTTACTCAAATAGTGTTTAACTATGACTATCGGTTATGATTTGTTTATGAAATGTCAGTTACAATTTATTGTGATTGTTATTTTAAGTGATATTTAATTATGATTTTTCTTTTGTCATGTATTTTTTTTAATAACTAAAAATAATTTAATTATAAAAAATATATGTGTATTGTAAGGTTGGACCGCACTTACGTGTTGCAATAATGATGTGTTGGACTTTCAAATCTGTAATTATTTTTCTGGGTAAATTACAATTTGCATTCTTATATTTTGCACTAAATATCACTTTGGCACATATACATGAAATTATGACAATTAATTCTTTGTATTTCTGTTTAAATTTTACTTTGGTTCTTACACATGGAATCGTGACAGTTAACTCCATGCACTTTTTCTCAAATCCCACTTTGGTTCTTACATAAATGTCAATGTCTCACTTCTGTTATTTTTTTAAAAATTTTTTAACAAAATCTAGTCATGTGACAAAAATGTAATTACGAAATGAGAATAAGTGAGGAAAATTATCAATGTTTCCCACCAATACACTTTGTCTTACGTGATAAGCACATGAGAGTTGTATAATTATATATATATATATATATATCTATACTATATATAAAGTAAAAAGGGGTTTTTAACCCCCAAGGCCTGTGGGAGTTTCAATATCCCAATCTGAATTTTCTAAATTTTTTATTAAAAAAAAACTCAGCATTTATTGATTTGATCAAAATCCCTTGATCAGCATGTATTAACTTTTTTCAACCCACATGTCTTTTCATATGCTTGCATTTATTGATTTTGTCAAAACCCCATGATTAGCATTTAAAATCCCCTATACAAATAATTATAGACACAATCTGTGTATAGTTACTGCAGTACCCTTTTTAACTTCTCTCATACACTATGGTTAGTAATAAGATTGTTAAATTATTTTTATAAAAAATCTTAAAAAACATAATTTATATATTAAAAAAAATCTAAATATTTATAATTATCTCATGCATAGCATGGGTGATAGGCTAGTATATATATATTCGTATGGTAAGAATTGAGACAAAAAAGGTAAGAAAGTAGAGCTTTTGAAATTAAAAAAAAAATGCGACAATGAAATCAAAGAGAGAAAAAGATGAATAAACAAAAACTGTGTTACTGTGAAAAATAGAGTTTCATAATTTAAATTTATGCAAAACCTAGTTCTTCTTCTTAATTGTTCATAATTTGTGTTTTGTTTTAGCCTAATACAGTCATATTTTGATGTAAATTTTGAGATAAAGTGTGTATTGGTAAAAAATGTAGATGATTTTTGTTTTTTACCTTCATGCCATAGTTACATTCTTATTACGTGATTAGATTATGTTAAAGATTTAAACAATTAAGTAATAGAAATGAGACATTGACACTTGTATAAGGACCAAAGTTCTTGACTAAAAGTACAAGGGATTGATTGTCACAATTTCATGTGTAGGGACCAAAGTAGGATTTCACTAGAAGTGCAGGGGGTTGACTGTTATGATTTCAGGTGTAGGGACTAAAGTGAAATTTAGTGCAAAGCACAAGAATGCCAAATGTAATTTACCCTATTTTTCTTTATGCTGTTTGTCGAAACTTTAAAATTTTACAATCACATAGACACTTAAATATTTTTTTTTTATAATTTTTTTTTCCTTTCTACTGCACACAATGTTGCTTATTGTAGGTATATTTTCAATTTGTACTAATTATATAATACAATTGTGAAACAAATTTTTGGTGCAAAAAAAATAAAAATAAAAATAAAAATCAACTTGATGGATCGTCCAAAAATTATCAAGATTAAATTATATATTTTTTAAAAAATATTTAATTAAAATATTCTTAGTGAAAAATATTCTAGGGTTCGATCAACAACAACCAAGCAATAATTCAAACTGAACAATTTAAACATGAACAATCAGGCAATTGTGGTTTTGGTTCGAATGCCTCAAAAAAATGAGGACTTCTTTGGATCAATGGTAACAAAGTAAACAAGCAGAAAGGACACACTTTTTATATCAACAGATGGTAACAAAGTAGATTTGAATAAACAGAAGTAATTTCAGATTGAAATTATTGAAGTTCACTAAAAAAAAGTAGAAGTTACAATCAAACGAACTAGTCCTAAATTACAATTGAAACTACTCCTAAGTTTAAGAACTAAATTGTTATGTTGTTGTAGTTGATATCCCTCTCCCTTGCTCCTTTACTGCTTTTATAATGCTCCAAATTGTGACAACCCTCACCTCTGATTAATGCTAAACTGCGACTGAGAATGATAAGTTACTGATTTGACCGAGATTCCGAATTGATTGCGAGTGGATACTGTTTTAAATGCATTTCTATCTGTTAGTCATTAAATGATCTGTTCATGTTTTATCTTTGAATTGCGAATTGAAGGTCCTATCGGCGACCGAATCAGAAATCGATTGGTATTTTATGTTAATTAGAATTTATGTGATTTTATGGTAGTTTTAACTTAAATTTGATTTGAAATGATTAAATTGGATTAAATAATATAAATCACATTAGTTCAAGTAAATTACCCAAATGCCATTAGTGGGTCACTTTCATAAATCATCTTGAGACTTGATTATATGTCAATTTGTTCATCTTCTTGAGGCCAAAACCGTGAGCAAGAGAGGAAGAGTTAAGAGAAAACTTGAGTTCATCAAATTTAGCTTGGGAACTAGAAGAAATTGAAGAGAGATTGCATAAATGAGTTTGTATACCTTGAATTCAAGTCTTAAGGTAGAGATTTCATCCTCTCATTTGTACATTTGAGTTGTTCTTGCATGGTTCATGGGATTATTGTACATTTGAGGCTTAATTCATGCATGCATGTACATATTCTTGAATTTTGAGGTTATTCTTCATGAATTTCCACATGCATGTCCATTTTCTAGTTGTTGTCCATGAATTCATCTTGTTCTCGAGCTAAAACTTGCATTTGGTCATGTGTTAGTAGTTTTGAATTCAATTGAACACATACATGTTAAATGTACATCTTGTTCTTGAAATTTATTTGAAATTGGTGTTCAATTGGTTTACCTTTGGGCTTGATTTTACAAAATTGATGTTTGAAACATGTTGTGTTATGGGTTACCAAGTGTTTTCCAAAGATTTGGCGCAGAAAAATGAGTTTTGGATGGTTGAATGTTGAGTTTCATGTTTGGAGGTCAATCTGGATTTTTCAGAAATTTGACCCACACTCGAGCAGGGACTTTCATGCTCCAGCGCGAACCCTGAGTACATGCATTCCGCTCGAGCGGCGAGAGTTACGCTCGAGCGTGAAATGCGTATACCTAGAAGTTTGTGTGTTTTGCAGTACGCTCGAGCGAGAGAGTTCACGCTCGAGCGAGGACCTGAGTCTCACACTCGAGCGGAGGTCGAGCGTCCATCGAGCGTGAATTGCATGCATCCAGTACTTTTCATGAAGTTTACAGTCTGCTCGAGTGAGGGATGTCACGCTCGAGCGGAGCTCCTTTGTCTGCATGTCCGCTCGAGCGTAGAAAGCTACGCTCGAGCGTGGACCTCTGTTTCAGCAAATTTTGAAAAGTGTTTTCAAGTGCCTCTTTGCATCCTCTTTCCATCCTAGGCATTCCTAGGGCATGTTTAAGGCATCTTAAGGAGGATATTGATGTAGAACCACACCGAGTCAAGTTAGGGGTTAAGTTATTAAACCCATGTGTATAACTTAGTGTGTGTTCGTTCTGTAACTATAGGGTTGGCATCCGAGGACGCGCACTAGCCTATCTGTAGCCCAGTGCTCTGTGAGTAACAATGTTGTAAAGATATGTTCAATTATGAATATTTTCTGAATGATCAACTGTTCTATTTATTGAAATGTTATTGTTTAATGAACGAATGTTTGTCCTATTTGTAAACGGTATTCGTGGCATCTTTAGCAACTTACTGTTACTGTACTGTTACTGCTACTGTCACAGAGATCTCTGTCGGTTTCCATGTTTGGAACCACTACTATTTACTGTTATGATGGCCATCAAATGACTGTTCGGTTTGTTAAGACCTACTGTACTGTTTTGCGATTGGATGTACCACATATAACTGCTATGGTTTCTAAATGACTGATATGACTGTTTAATTATTGAAAAGACATTCATTCTTAACCTCTTTACACAGTTGTTATTCACTGGGCTTTAGCTCACTGTTTATATTTATATATAGGTGTTCAGGCATCGGATCGATGCTAGGAGGGTCGGGTTAACTCCCTTTTTGTCAAGCCAACCACTGTGCCTCACCTCGAGATTCCAAGACTGACCGAGCTAAGGCTACTTTAGGGTGTCTCAGTTTCACCCTTCCGTCTCTGTTTTGTAATACTGTTTAAGACTTGTACTGTATTCTGAATGTTTATACATATGGTATACATATGTTTTGCTTATGAATGTGAATATGTTCGGAAAA